ATGGTGATCTAAATGAAGAGATCTATATGGAGCAACCCGAAGGATTTATAGTGCCGGGGCAAGAAAAGAAAGTTTGTCGGCTTGTAAAATCTCTTTATGGATTAAAATAAGCGCCTAAGCAATGTCATGAAAAGTTTGATCATGCTATGCTTACTAATGGGTTTAAGATAAACGAATGTGACAAGTGCGTCTATGTTAAAAACACTGACCAAGGATATGTCATAGTTTGTCTTTATGTAGATGACATGCTTATCATTGGAAGCTGTCAAAACATGATCAAATCGATTAAACAAATGCTAAACAAAAGATTTGATATGAAAGATATGGGGGTCGCAGATGTAATATTAGGAATGAAAATTACTAAAACATCTGACGGATATGCATTATCTCAATCACATTATATTAAGAAAATTCTTAATAAATTTATCAAGGATGATATGAATGTAACTAGAACACCTGTAGACACTAGTCTTTATTTATTGAAAAATAAAGGTGATGCTGTGTCTCAGTTAAAATGCTTCCAAATCATTGGAAGCCTAATGTACCTAATGAATTGTACTCGTCCTAACATAACTTATGCTGTCAGTAAATATTGGAAAGCGATCATTCGGGTTCTTAGATATCTAAGATTTACCCGTGATCATGGTTTTAACTTTACTCGATGTCCAGCAGTACTTGAAGGTTATTGTGATGCCAATTGGATATCGAATACTAAAGATTCAAAATCCATTAGTGAATATGTCTTTACTCTAGGAGGCACTGCTGTTTCTTGGAAATCCATGAAACAAACATGCATCGCACGATCCACAATGGAATTTGAGTTCATTGCTGTAGACAAGGCAGAAGAAGAAGCAGAATGACTTCGTCACTTTTTATAAGATATTCCAATGTGGCCAAAACCTGTGCCAGCTATCTGTATTCATTGTGATAGTCAATCTGTAATAGGCAAGGCACAAAATCATATATATAATGGTAAGTCACGACATATTTGTCATCGACATAATACTGTAAGGCAATTGCTCTCAAATGGAATAATCTTAATAGATTATATAAAATCTAAAGAGAATATTGCGGATCCATTAACAAAATGTTTGACAAAAGAGCAAGTGTATAGTTCATCAAAAGGGATGGGATTAAAGCCTATTACATAAGAGTCATCATAATGGTAACCCTACTTATATGACTAGAGATCCCAAGAACTAAGTTCAAAGGGACAACTAAGTTATGTGTGGCTCGCCAGAAATCACCAAGGGATTAAAATTCCTTACCCATTCCTATGGTGAGAGTGATATCTGCAACATATGTTGTATATAGGGGTTTAAGGATAAGCTTTGCTTTTAATGATTATTTATATCTTGATTTAGGCATAAAAATCAAGACGAGTATAAGGAGATACTCACAATAAGAATCACCTATATGAGTGTCGCACTGGGGCCGATTCTATGAGAATGAAGAGGCTAAATTCTCTAGAAGCACTCGTGAACAACTAGGAGCGTTCAAGGCCAAAATGAACACAACTGTGAGAACCACCATGTGTCAGAAAATATTTTGTGTGAAATCTATTGTCTTGGCTTACACAAATGGCTGAACAATTCAAGGCATCACGCCCATTGGTTAGCTAGTAAGTCCAATAGGTTATCACTAGGGAAGGTTCAAGGCCGAAAGATACCTGTCCTGATGCAAGATATTTTCGATTTATACTCTTTCGACAAATTTTGCATATTATTGCATTTTCATTGTCATCAAATTCCATTCATGTGGGGGATTGTTGGAAATGGTTTTGAAAAAATCTAGAAAAAATAGAAATTTTTTCTAAACTTTGGTCTAATTTTTAGGTGGGGCCCATGCGTCGAATTTCGCGGGTCTAAGTGGTAACGCGTTCTATGCTGCGTTGTGATTCATGTGGTATATTTGGTTGCTCAAAACCATTATCGAGTGAATGGGAAATTGAAGCCAAAGTGGCTCCATGAAATTGGAGTTTTGGTAGAAAATCCTTAAAGGTTTGAATAAAGGCTTGTCCCACATTGGTTTGGTAGGAAGAAATTAATGGTTTTATAAAGCTTGGAATTATAACTTGGGGAGGTCCCCAAGGGGTACTTCAAGTTTGTAGAAGGGAGAGGTTATGGGCAAATTGAGCTAGACCTATTGGACCCAAAAATTACCACAAACGCGCGCGCCGCTGCCGCTGTCCTTTCGTCCAGGCAGACTGGGCAATGGTGCATGGTGCATGATTGGTTTGGGCTTGTCTGGCCTAATACCTATTTTTTTGGGCCAAAAACATTTGAATTTTATTTTTCTAAAGTTAAATTATAATTTTTTGAATTTGAATTTCGGAAATTAAATTCAAAATTGGGTTCGATTTTCACCACCCGGACATATTTGAATCTGTTTAAAGTTCAAAAAACCTGGTTGGAATTCTGTACAGGTTAATATCTGTCCGAATTCAAATTTGAACCCAAACAATTCCAATTCAAACCCAACAGGTTAAGTACTTGTTCAAACAAGTATGCTACCTATTTAATTCAAACTAAAAGGGTACCACTGCATCTATAAATAAGACAAGTCCCTCATTTGTTTTTCACTTCAAATTTTCATCAAAATAATTTTGCTTTTGCTCTCTGCATATTTTGCTGCATTAACTACATTTATTTTCTGTGAGAAATAGTGTATACACTTAGTGTATTCGTTGTGCAAGCAATTTGTAGTGCTGCTATTGTTTGCGGCTGATCATGTTATCTTAGGAGACAGACGTCCATAATCTGAAAGCACCATAGAGAGGACGAATCTTTCTTAAGGACACAGTATTAAACACTAGACTTGATCAAAAGTTTGTTCAAGAAATTAATCAAGTAAGTTGTTAATTTATTTTCTGTTTTTATTATTATTTATTTAAATCATATTTTGATTTTGTTTTTGTAACAAAATAAAAATCTGTTTTATTTATTTATTTATTGGTTTGATTTTTGTAATCAAACAATCTTTCTCCTTTCCTATTTTTCTTTTGTATTCCATTTGTTGTTTAGTACACAAACAAAATTTATTTCATTAAATACAGTGAAGATTGTCCAACAATACTTTTCGACAATAATGTTCAATAGGAAAACTAGTGCTTCCAGCAATATTAGTTCTTAACTCTGGGTCATAGTGAGATAATGCACCTTTCTCTTTGGACACAAACTTGCAGGTATTACTTTCATGTCCCAACCTTCCATAATCATAGCAAAAGTTTGAGAGCTTCTCATATTTGAAAGATAGCTAAAGGTCACTGTTCCCTGACCCCTTTGAAGCCATAAACCCTGGGGTAGCGGTTGTTGTGTGTCAATGGCTACTCTAATCCTTAAAGAAACTTTTGTAGAGTAGAAGGCCCTCAGTGTGCGCTTCAACAAGAATCAAGCATCCAATCTTATTCCCCAAAATCTCACCATTCTGTTTGGTTAGTTTTTGGATAGGGAGTCCATGGACTTGAACCCAAAATTGGCACCAGTTAAAGTCTAATTCTTTTGTCGTCTGACTCAAGGAAAGGGGTTGTACGATCAATAGCCACCCCATAACTGACCATGGACTATCTTGAAGAATGCGATGATAGTCATCTTCCTCACTGAACTGAAATAGGTACACATTGTCCCTTCGTGGTGATATTGTGAGTTCACCACGAATCCTCCAAGCTACTCGAATGATGTTGGACACTGCCATTTGTTCAAAGTCTTGGGGGCCAAGATTTTCCCAATTAGACATAGACTAGGTGTGTCCTCACTCTCCTCACTGCCTTCTTCCAAAGTTAAACCTTCGGCATCAGGTGGGGAAAGAGGCAACAGGGTTAGTCGGGAGCGAGCTGTCATTCAGTCCCACCGCCAAGAAGGAACTAAGAAACAAGGGAGATGAAAGAAAAGATAGGGAATGGGAAAGAAAAGACAAGGAATGGGGAAGAAAAATAGAGAATAAGAGAGCAGGTGCGGCAGGGGTAAAAACCCTAAAAAAGCTAGAAAAACCTTACGCAGCGACTCCCATCCCATTCTAGAGAGAGAAGCTCCCATTACACACACAGAGAGAGAGAGAGAGAGATTCAAACATACTATAAATAAGTCTTTTGATCATTAAGTGTTTGCCCAATGCAATAAATGCGCATGACAGCTTGTTCCTCGACAATTGAATTCCACTATGAATCTTAGAGAAAAGTTAAATATTGGCTTATTATGATTAATTATTGATTAATGCTAGAGATTCTAAAAGTTCTATAAAATTTCTACTAAATGTCTCACATGAGTGTGGAACCCACATGGGACTCACATGGTGTGGGTCCCACACCTATGTGAGATATTTGGTAGAAATTTTGGGATCTATAGCATTTTTTTTAATCAATAGCTGGTTCCAATTAGTACCATTGTAATTATAAAATTTGTGATTAATGCTTTGGTTCTGTATAATGTGAATATTTTAATTGATTTCAATAATAGTTTGGCTTCCAATAATAATGACATTAATGTTTACATTATGAATTTGAAAATCACTACAACAAAATGCACCTTCGGCGATCAAAATTGGTGATTAAAAAAAATTTAGTCGCCAAAAGTTGTGGAATTGGCAACCAAATTTTTTTTTAGTCGGGGTATATTGGTTATTGGCAACTAAAAAAAATTAGTAGCTAAAAATGCCAAAATTGGCCACAAAAAAGAATTTGAGTCGCCATATATTGAGTTTTGGCTACTAAAACCATTTAGTCGCTGAATGGAAAATAAAAAATTATTTTTTACTTTTGGCGACCAAAATTTTAGTCACCAAAAGTTTATTTTTGGCGACAAAAGGGAATTTTAGTCGCCAAAGAAATAAAATTTTTAAAGGGAGACATTTTAAATATTTTGGAGAGATTTATAAAATACATTCAGCGACTAAAAAATTTTAGTCGCCAATAATCATCTATATAAAGTATCTCACGCTCTCACTCTTCTCTCTTATCCTCTCTCATCTCTCTTTCTCTCATTCCAGCGCCTCTCTCTCTCTCTCTTTTCAGCGTCCCACCCATCTCCGACCAGCAACAATAACACATCGCACACCGCGGACAGTTGGTATGTCTTCTTCCTCCTCTTCTTCTTCTTCTTCTTCTTCTTCTTATTCTTCTTCTCAATCCCCTTCCTCTTCCTCTCTCTGTCTGAAAATTTTTTGGGTGCAAGCATTTGAATCTGTCAACAGAAAGAGAAGATAAAAGAGAGCGCCATGGCAGTCTCAATTTCTGCCCTAAACCTCGCTGCATCGGTCTCTTTAATCCCTCCATAAACGACCAAATCAGACCTTCAAGATGGGTTGTTGTTTTGGATTCTTATAGATGGATTGTTTCTTTGGATTTTTATAATGTCAAAATAGTTTGTTGTTGTTTTGGATTTGGATTCTTATACCATAGGATTTTTTTTTTTTTTGGTTTTTGCCTTCAAACTGTTTGATAAAATGTCGCTTAGGCTTCTCAAAATTCTAAGCCACAAGCCTAACTTATTGGCAGTGTAATTGCTGCTCAAACATGTATTGAATCAAGCCCACAACAGCTCCAAATCTTAATTTGTTGAAGCCATTGCTTGCATATTCAAATCTTAATCTGTTAAATCAAAAATCATTCATAGTGTTTTCAATTAGCTACTTTTTGGCCCATATTCAGGGTGCTATAGTTGTTAATATACAGTTTTTGCTTAGTTAGCCCAAGGGTGCTATCAAAGGATTTTGGTCAAGGGTGTTTTGAAGTTTTTCGAGGTTCATCTTTGCACTCTGTGTGGTTTTTATATCTCCAATGATTCTATAATTTGCTCTCTATTTCTGGTTTCTAGGTGGTAGAGTTCTCCTTTTGCTAGGTTTGGTTGTTTCTTTTTCTCTTTAGATTCTGTTTGCTTCTTTTTTTTTCTTTCTTTTTTTTTTTTTTTTTTTTTTTTAAAAAGCATAGCCCAACTGAAACAAAATCAGAGCCAGTGAGGAATTTGAATTGTTTAAACTACATTATTAAATTGGTGGGAATTAATACTTGTAGAACTTTAATATATGGAACAGGCATTTTACCAGATCCTAATTTTTTCTAGATTGGACCATGATATTCGACCAGGGCAAACACCGTTCTTTCTTTTCTCTTTTTTTGTTTTTGCTTTTGTTTTTGTTTCAATTGATAAGGTCAAATTTTTTGTAAACAATTCAGAGGGGAAATGTAATACTCCATAGTCAAACTGATACAATATAATTTAAAATTCAAGATTTTCACATTCTAATAACTAAAATAAACAAACACCAACCTCTACAACGTGCCAACATACTATGGATATCCTAATCAGAAAGTAGAATTCACTAGCCCAGTAGTTTTGTTGCTTCATCTTCTAGCTAGCTAGTACCTCAAATAGAACACTGCAATATCCAAGATCACACAAGACTGTAAATGAAGAGCTCTTCATTTGCTTAGGCTGATGATAGTGAATTTTGATGTTGTTTGGTTGACAGTAATTGTTTAGAGTTAGATCTGCTTTTGATTTAGTGACTATAATCCTTTTTATTGTGGAGCAGGAACGAGTGTGTTCAACCATTTGCACCAGAAATGGAGCATGTATGTGGCAGGCCATTGGGACTACGGTTTGATAAAAAAACTGGAGATCTTTATATTGCTGATGCCTACTTCGGCCTTCAAGTAGTAGGGCCAAATGGAGGTTTGGCTACTTAGATTCTGTTTAAACAAAATTTAAGCTCTGCATTTTTTATTAGTTATCTTACTGATTTTTGTTACAAATTGATGATGTTGGCATGGATACAATGATGTTTTTGAGCCAGATTGATGATATTTGCATGGGCGCAATTTACATTATATTTTTGTTTATAGAAAACATATAGACTTGATATGTTTTGTATCATTCTTGTTTGTTTTTTTTTTTTTTTTTTTTTTAATTTAGATTTTAAGTGTTGGTTTGGATAGTATATTTATTTGTTGGATTATACTACGTTTATGGATTTTTATTTTCTTTGATATGTACGGTTAATAGTTAGGTTTTGTATATGGTTGAAAATTGAATGCTATAGGTTATGGAGAAATATTTTTATCGAATGGTTGAGAATTGAATGAATAGATGAATAATTTTGTATATGTACAGGTTACAAGTGGCGCAAAAAATATTACAGAACAAATTATAAAAACTAAATGAGACCTTTTGGCGACTAAACAAATATCGCAGGTTGGCTTTTGGCTACTAAAATTTTAGTTGCCAACTGTCAAAAAGTGAAACTTTTGGCTACTAAAACTTTAGTCGCTAATTGTAAAAAGGAAACTTTTGGCTACTAAATTCTTAGTCGTCAATTCTCAAAAAGTGAAACTTTTAGTTATCAAATAGTTAGTCGCTAAACATACATGCTCAATTGGCTACTAAATAATTTAGTCGCTAAAAGTAAAAATATATATATATATATATATTTAATTATTTTTTAAAAATATATGGCGACTAAAGTTTTAGTAGCCGATAGGTCACTTTTGGCTACCAAAAAAATTTAGACACCAATTGTCTTCACCGACGAAATATTGGCGACCGAATATATTAGTCGCCAAAAGTAATTGGCGACTAAAATAAGGCTTTTGGCAACTAAAATTTAGTTGCCAAAAGTGAAATATCTTGTAGTGAATAAATCACTTTGTTTGGTTTTGATTGAGTTTATTTTTCATGTTTATTTTTTTGTTTTTAGTGATTTTTTTATTATTATTTTAAGTAAATCCTTTACTTTCTAGATGTACATAACTTAGATGGACTTAAAAAGTAAAGCATTTGCGAAAAAATATTTTAAAAATTCAATAAATACACAAGAATACAAAAATGTACATAATTTTTGTATTTGTTTCATATTTTTTGTATTTGATATATTTTTTTTAAAATCATAAATATTATACTTTTTCAGTGCATCTAGGTTAGGTGAATCTAAAAAATATAAAAAAAAAATTAAAAATTTTGACTAAAAACAAAATAAAACAAAACAAAAAAACTCAATTTTTTGAAAAAGTTTTCTCAATTTTCTAAAACCAAAACAAGGTGATGTCAGACAATATTATTTGAATTGGGTAGTTGCATTAATGCTCACACTGTTAAAAATACTTTTGGTGTATTTTCACATTGTTAAATAGGAATTATGAATATTTTCAGTGAATATTTTAACTGATTTTAATTTGGCTTCCAATAATTGTGACATGAATGCTGACATTAAGAATTTGAAAATATATGATATGTGGACATTGATGATGACAAATATTATTTGAATTGAATAGTTGTGTTAATGTTCACACTCTTAAAAATAATTTTTGATGAATGTTCACATTGTTAAATATAAATTATGAATATTCAAACGAATATTGGTATGGACGTTACCAATATGTAATTTGTGAATGATTCTTTTGAATTTTATGATGTAGGTATTGTAATTTGTTTGCAATAAGAAATTGACTTCCAATAATCCTGGCATGAATGTTGTGAATTTGAAAATTTTGTGGTGTGTGAAAGTGATAATAACAAGTTTGGTATGATTTGGATAGTTGGGTGAATATTCACACTATTAAACTATAATGCCCCAGGTTTTATTATCCAAAATCATTATCATATGCCTTTATTTTAGTCCATTTCTATAACAAAATATGTGGAAGTGATAAACAATAACTAATTCAAGGCAAGAAAATGCTCTTTTGTTTATACATATGACGCAAAAATAATTATAAGGATAAATTATACTAATAGTCTCTATAATTTATCCTATGTGACATTTTAGTCCCTATAATTCTAATTGACTCGTTTTTTACCTTAGATTTTTAATTTTGTGCCATTTTAATCCAATTAAAAAGGTAGTTAAGAAATTGGAAGGAAAATTTGCATGTAAGAGGCACACATCATTTTAAAGGGTATTCATCCAAAAAATCATTTTAAAGGGCAAAATGGTCAATTTGTCCATATTCTATCAAACCTTTTGAGTTAACTCGGTAACTCATGGTCAACTCACTGAACTATATCAAAAACAAATGTAGAGAGAGAGAGAGAGATTAAGTGAAGGGGAGCTTCTATTTACACACACAACATCCACTTTCTACACATCTCTCCTCACTACATTACACACCTCCTTCCTTCATTAAGTGTGTGTATAGAGGGGGTTTAATGTGTGTGAATAGAAGCTCCCTTAAGTGAAGGCATGAAGGTAGGTTGCTGGGGTAAGAAAGGAGGTTGCGAAGAGTTGTCGGGGGTAGGGAAAATGAGGCAATGGGGGGGTTGTTAGTGGTGGGGGAAAGGAAGTAATGAAGGCTTATCGAGGGTGAAGCAAGGAGACGATGCGGGCTATGAGTGGAAAAAATGGTTGAGAGAGGGCAAGGCAATGTAATGGTTAGGCGGTTGCTGTCGCGACTCTAGAATGAGAGGAGTGGGGTAATGGCGTCACGATTGGGGAAGAGGTAACGTAACGCGATGGCATCACAGTTGGAGGAGAGAAGATGATTGGAGTCGAGGCTGGAGAAATGGAGGGGTTTGGTGACGACGCAATGAACAACGACAACAGTGACAGAGCAACCAATGATGGTGACCACTCTCTCTCTCTCTCTCTCTCTCTCTCCTATTCTTCCTCTCTTTCTATGTTCTTGTTCCTTTTCCTTTGTCATGGAGATTTGTACATGTGGGGTTTAAAATTCGGGAATATGGCTAGGTTTTGTATGTTGATTTTGGATTGTGATTTTTGATCTATGGTTGGAAACATAGTTCTAAATCGTGGTATCGGCTGACATAACGGTATCAATCGCGGAGTATTAGTATCGGTAGTATCGCCGGTACGTATCGAGAATCGGGTGTCGCGACCATGAAATTTTAAAAATCATTAGCAATCCCTCTAAAATTAAATTTTATGCATTTTTTTGAATCTTTTAACTTTAATTTGTTACATTTTAATCAAAATTTCGTTATGTAGGACCATTTTTGACTCATTTTCAACTAAATGATATGTATTTATTTTTGGCATATGTTAAACTTTTAATAAAAAAATTGATTTGAATATTTATTTTTTCTTGGGTAGAGGTGAACATATCTGGATATTGATGATAAAGATGAGAGTAGACTTTGGAAATTGATGATGAAGACGAGGACATTTTAGTCATTTAATTTGGAAGAAAAACTATCTTTCCATGCCTATTTACACATTAGGCATCGTGGTTGGGCCGAGCTGCTTAACTTTGAACCGACCTACCGGTATAGCGAGAGGAGAAAGACCAGGGTGACTGACTTTCTCCTAGAACCATCACCTGAAACAAACCCCACTCTTT